TAACTACTATCTAACCATGATTAACAATTTGGATAGTCAAAGTAACAAACAGACTAATTTTAAAATCCTTCAAAGTTTTGGGGGACTAATCGAAAAATAATGAAGATTTAGGGGACTAAGTTCAAATAAGAAAGAGTTTGAAAGAGTTTGGAACTAATATGGAAAATCTATATTAACTATAATAGTTTTGTTTGGCAAAAAATAGGGGAGCCATGCCCATGACTCAAGCAACAAAATTTCTTGTAACATCTCAGCCTTAGTACACATCAACACGAAGTATAAATTAACAACGTACAAAATAAAACACATATAGATCCTTTCCACTACCAATCCATTAAACTACAGTGAAAAGCATGCAACAACTACTGATTTGTAAAGAAAGCCAAAATTTAGCTCAAAAAGTATACAAATTATCATAATTCAGCAATAAACTAGCATTTAATATAGTAAATAATGCTAATCTGGAACCAAATAATAAATAGAAGCAAACAAAAACAACATCCTACCAGTTATAAGAATTATATAGCATCCGGAGTTTTATAAATCTCAAAAAGAGTAAAGAAAATCACATAAATAGGGATCTGGATGGCAGATATACCTTTATTATTTTCCAAAACCTCCCAATCCAAAATTCGATTTCATCACCCCCAATACTATCCATTATCAAGAATTTAGCGCAAAAGAAAAGATCTATCTTCTCTAATCGCATTACATTTTTTCATAAATTTGTTTAGATACGGGTAAAAGAACAAAATTTCAGATGATGTTTGGGGTGGGGGTGGGGGTAGGGGTGGGGTGTGGAGGGGGGGTGTTTGCGGCAAGGACTTGAGAGGTTGCAGTCAGAATTGAAACCCTAGACTAGAATTCATCTTACTTATCATCATTCTCCTTCCATCTAGACCGCCCACTGTATTGGATCCCACAGTAGACAATAAAGGCGATTGAATGGCAAGGTTGTAAATACTACAAAAATATCAGGTCAAGTGGGATAATTTTGGAAACGTTGGGACAATGAAGCTGAGAGTATGACTTGCATTAAAGGATAAAATATTTTCAATCTTTGATCAGCATATATGTGGGATATGATTCTGAGATTTGACTTATACTTTATTTATATTTGTATCCTCCAAAAAATTAAAAAAGACGTATTATACATATTAATAGTTTACCGTGTGTGTATCTATGTATTTATGTATGTATGGATAGATGGATGGATGTATGCATGGACATACACATTATTCCGATGCAAATTTTGATACTATTATATGTACTCATTTGTATTTCTATTATAAACTCACAATAAAAAAGATCCAATCCACTACACCAATTCAAAAATTATGATGAGGATCATGATTTTATCCTTTTAACATGTCTGTTAGTTGAGTGCTCTTTTTATGAGTTGATATCAGGACTTACAAAGTGTTTTTTTTTTTAAAATACACTTTAAATTTATTGCCGATGAGAATTGAACTTGAATTGATCTGATGTTATGCAAAAGATCCCAACCATTGCAAAATTAGAAATTCTAGTGGAGAGGAAGGGTTATAATTTAATACTCTAACATCTTTATTAAAAAGTGCAGAACTGGATGCAACTCAAAATCCGTTAATATTAAAAGTCAGTGAACAACTAACATGGGAGATACTGTAAATGGAAACAAGAAGATGCAAAAGAATATGTAAAGGCTATTGCATAACCACGCAAAATATGTAAAGGCTTATTTTGGTCAGTTGAAGTAGTGGACCAATTGGCCCACACCTTCTTTTTTTGGTTTTGACGAGGGAACTTCCCTCCGATCCTTCGGACTATTAGTGTCAAACCCTCGGACATGGCTAAGGGGCATCCTTCAATATATGGCCTCAAATATTTCAAGAAACTAAATTCTCGGGAGAGTCGAATCTGGGATCTTTGACTATTACTCGTATCTAGCTTACCAAATCGGCTAGCCCCTCTTGGATTGCCCACACCTTTGACAATACTAAATGGAAGGGTCGGGATAGAATTGTTGAGTTTCTAAGAATGTAAGGGCGAGTGAGCAAATAGACAAGTTTGGGGGTAAAAATATGCAAATATGGATGACTTGATGGGTACTTATGCAAAATGACTCAAGCAACAAAATTTCTTGTAACATCTCAGCCTTAGTACACATCAACACGAAGTATAAATTAACAACGTACAAAATAAAACACATATAGATCCTTTCCACTACCAATCCATTAAACTACAGTGAAAAGCATGCAACAACTACTGATTTGTAAAGAAAGCCAAAATTTAGCTCAAAAAGTATACAAATTATCATAATTCAGCAATAAACTAGCATTTAATATAGTAAATAATGCTAATCTGGAACCAAATAATAAATAGAAGCAAACAAAAACAACATCCTACCAGTTATAAGAATTATATAGCATCCGGAGTTTTATAAATCTCAAAAAGAGTAAAGAAAATCACATAAATAGGGATCTGGATGGCAGATATACCTTTATTATTTTCCAAAACCTCCCAATCCAAAATTCGATTTCATCACCCCCAATACTATCCATTATCAAGAATTTAGCGCAAAAGAAAAGATCTATCTTCTCTAATCGCATTACATTTTTTCATAAATTTGTTTAGATACGGGTAAAAGAACAAAATTTCAGATGATGTTTGGGGTGGGGGTGGGGGTAGGGGTGGGGTGTGGAGGGGGGGTGTTTGCGGCAAGGACTTGAGAGGTTGCAGTCAGAATTGAAACCCTAGACTAGAATTCATCTTACTTATCATCATTCTCCTTCCATCTAGACCGCCCACTGTATTGGATCCCACAGTAGACAATAAAGGCGATTGAATGGCAAGGTTGTAAATACTACAAAAATATCAGGTCAAGTGGGATAATTTTGGAAACTTTGGGACAATGAAGCTGAGAGTATGACTTGCATTAAAGGATAAAATATTTTCAATCTTTGATCAGCATATATGTGGGATATGATTCTGAGATTTGACTTATACTTTATTTATATTTGTATCCTCCAAAAAATTAAAAAAGACGTATTATACATATTAATAGTTTACCGTGTGTGTATCTATGTATTTATGTATGTATGGATAGATGGATGGATGTATGCATGGACATACACATTATTCCGATGCAAATATTGATACTATTATATGTACTCATTTGTATTTCTATTATAAACTCACAATAAAAAAGATCCAATCCACTACACCAATTCAAAAATTATGATGAGGATCATGATTTTATCCTTTTAACATGTCTGTTAGTTGAGTGCTCTTTTTATGAGTTGATATCAGGACTTACAAAGTGTTTTTTTTTTTAAAATACACTTTAAATTTATTGCCGATGAGAATTGAACTTGAATTGATCTGATGTTATGCAAAAGATCCCAACCATTGCAAAATTAGAAATTCTAGTGGAGAGGAAGGGTTATAATTTAATACTCTAACATCTTTATTAAAAAGTGCAGAACTGGATGCAACTCAAAATCCGTTAATATTAAAAGTCAGTGAACAACTAACATGGGAGATACTGTAAATGGAAACAAGAAGATGCAAAAGAATATGTAAAGGCTATTGCATAACCACGCAAAATATGTAAAGGCTTATTTTGGTCAGTTGAAGTAGTGGACCAATTGGCCCACACCTTCTTTTTTTGGTTTTGACGAGTGAACTTCCCTCTGATCCTTCGGACTATTAGTGTCAAACCCTCGGACATGGCTAAGGGGCATCCTTCAATATATGGCCTCAAATATTTCAGGAAACTAAATTCTCGGGAGAGTCGAATCTGGGATCTTTGACTATTACTCGTATCTAGCTTACCAAATCGGCTAGCCCCTCTTGGATTGCCCACACATTTCCTTTAGGGCTTGTTTGGATTGAGGGGAATAAGGGAGAGGAGAAGTTAGGCGAACCATTCACCTTATTTGGGAACATTTAGGAGGTGAAGTTATTCACATTAGTTCCCCTTGGTTCACCCATTAATAGTATAAAATTTGTTACCCCCCAAATTAGGGTGTAACCAAGGGGAAGGGAACTCCATTCCCTTCCCTTTTCTTCTCTCATCTAATTTCCCTTAACTTCCCTTAACCCCTTTGAAATTTAAACACACCCTTAGGCAATTAAACTACTATTAGTTGTAATCAATTGATTAAAATCCTAATGTCTATATTCACTTGATTTGAGGGTTTTTTTTGAAAAGGCAGGTAGGGTAACCTAACCAGTCAAGTCCTCAACAACACTCTGTCTCAAAAATAAAGGGATAGAAACAGACCAAAAACAAGAGGACAAACAATCAACCGACTTAGTTGGGAATTAGTAACACCATTACTAGTGCGCCTTACATAAGAAACTTTAGAGCAGCCAGTAATAGTCAAACCAGAGCGAACTTCATCTGCAATAGGAGTCAATTAAGCAAAAGGAGAATGAGAGTGCACCAAGGAGACAACCTTTAGGAAGTCAATTTTTATCACTGAAATCCTCCAGTTCATACGCCGAACAAAGCGAATACCTTTAAGGACAACCAATAGCTCCGCATGATCCACAGACATAGGACCCCTGATCCCTATAGAGTAGCAACCAAGATCAAGTAGCTCACAATGCAACAGAACATTCTGGAAATCTAGCATTCTCGAAACATGCACCTGTCTACCATCCAGTTTCTCCCCTGGGCTCGTGATGGTATTAAAGTCATCTCCACATAATCATGGCTCAGAGGAAAGACCCCACAACCATCTCAAAAGATCCCAAGACTGGTACCATAAGTATTTTTGAGGATGGCCATAAAACCCGGTGAATCGCCGGTTCCTTCTCGCTGAGTCAACAACTGATACGTTAATGTGCCCTGGAAAAAAAGAACAAATAGTCACATCCATTTCATTGCCCCATAGTAACATGAGTCCACCACTTCTACCTCTATTATCCACCACAAAGCAATTCTGGAAACCCAACTGAGATCTCATTATATGCGCCCACCTACCAGAAAGTCTAGTCTTCGAAAGAAAGACTAGACTTGGGGAATGAGTCTGCATCAATCTGCGAAAAGCAGTCAACATTTTAGGGTTCCCCAGTCCCTGAACGTTCCAACAAAAGCAACTCATGGCTCCTGGTGCCCATGGCTACCAGGGTGCACCTCAACAAGAATAAAATCTGGACTGGAAATCACTAATTGTGCTCTCTTCTCATGTACATCGAGAGGATTCTTTAGAGAATCTTTCTTGCATTTGCCTCCTTTCTCTTTCTGTTTAGAGCCATGTTATCCTGACCCTCTAGAAAGCCTCTTCTAGGTCGATATAGCCTGATTTCCGAAGGTGGATGTGGAAACAATAACATCATACAAATCAGAGCCAACACCGGTATCCATAGGCAAGGGTATAGGAGGGGTTTCACACCTCACCGTGACTGGAATTATCTGTAGTGGAGCACTACCACGTGAATCATCACCCTGAGTATCATCTGAGACCACCTGAGATGATGGTTGTTTTTGCCCCTCACGATCTGCTTCAGTTGCTCCAGAAGACCGAGTCTCAAAGGCCTTGAAAAATGGAGGGGGTTCTATGAGCCAAGAACCATATCTGCTTTTGGATGTGATAAAAATATCATCGACTTGTAACACTTCGTTTGTCACACTCAGTGGCTTTATGGCCAATAATACCACTTGAAAAGAAAAAGTTAGGAAGTCTCTCATAGGTGAGAAAGAACTTCTCAATCTCCCCGGTCTCTTTCAAAGCAAACATGTATGCCTCTTTTTAGAGGCTTAGTAATATTCACAAGAATTCTCAGCCCCATATTGTTATCCCGCAAATCAATCTCTTTAAGCTCTCCTATAAGCGAGCCATAGTCTCTAATGCACATCTCGTTCATCGCAGCCAGTGGTACATTCTTGACGTTTATCCAAAATAAAGTTGAAGAGAAATCCAGAAAAGTTGGGGCACCGACCCCACAAGGAACAATCAAATTGAGCAAGTTCCTTTCAAAGCACCATGACCCACCATCAAACACTTTCTCCCTATCTGCATCGGAACCGAATCTGAAAAGGAAAGTATTCCTTCCATTATAATGTTCCAGGAAGGGGGGGCATCTACAATCCATATCTTCCTAAGGACACACTCAAGACCATCTCTATTAGCAATCTTCCTACCAAAAACCTTCCCCAAGAGACAATTGTTAAGGGAAGGCGAATTCGTCCGGTCCTTAGTTGACAGAAAAACAGGGTCATCTTCGTTGTCTAAGCTGCATTTGACATAAAGCTCGACCAGCCCATCATCATCAATTCTCGTCATGTTCCAAATTGATTTGGAGCCGAGAGGCTACTTGAAACGGATACCGTTAATATGAGACTGATAGACGGTCTTAAAACGATGAGACCGTTAATTTGAGTCTGAGAGACAGCTTAAACGACGATGTCATTAATTGGAGACCGAAAGGAGGTCCTAAAATGGCGATGCCATTAATTGAATATGAAACGGCGGTGCCGTTAATTAAATATGAAATGGTGATGCCGTTAAATAAATATGAAACAACGATGTCGTTAATTAATTATGAAACGGCAATGCCGTTCGTGTGAGCTAAGAGACAGCTACCTCAAAGGCCGAGATGTGGGAAACTCTGAAGACTGCCGTGAGGGTTGGGGACGAGACTCGGATCTCGCTAAATAATTCGCCACAAAACTATCGGAGTGAGACAGGAAGGGTCGTGCCTCACAAAGATTGTACAAACCGGTCAGAGAAAAAAAATAAAAAAAGACGGTCGTGCCGATAGAGTTCCGTCACGAGTGAGGGGGAGAGAAGCGTTACGCGCTTCTAGAGAGAAAAAGGAACGGACTGAGATCTAGGGTTTTTAAAACCCTAGAGAGTGGGCTACAAGAGAGAGAGCCGACTGAAAACTAGGGTTTTCAAAACCCTAGAGAGGGCGGCTACGAGAGAGCCGACTGAAAAATGAATCGTACTTGAATTGAGGGTTTGAGGTTACAATCTCGCCATATCATTGCATATGTCAATATACATACACGCACACGCATAACAATGTGACTTAGCTTAAGGAGCTTGTAATACTCTAACTTAGAAAAAAAAATGCATCAATAAGAATTAGAATCATGAGATTTGTTACAAAACAATTTACTTATCGGAAGTATGAAAATATCCATGAGATTTTGAATATGCAAGTGTTTCGATCTAATTTTCCATGTCTTATTATTACTAATGTGGAACTAATACATGACTAATTAATTTACATCACAACAAGCTTAAGGCGATAAATGGGGATAGCATCCAAAGGTACATCCCTAGACACGATGAATCCAAAACTTTCCCTTCATTTTATCTGGGGCCAACACATCACTTTGAGGTTCCCAATCAAAATAATGTACCAGCTGGGCCAGCACAAGGGGCACCACCGACAGCCCAAAGCTCATGCCCGGACAAATTCTACGGCCGGATCCAAATCGGGCCTACTGTTTTCAAACCTCTCGGGTACGAACTCCTCAGCATTGGGCCAAAAGTCCGGGTCTCGGGCCATGGCCCAAGAACATACCGTGATGTTAGAGCTCTACAAGGGCACCAATGAATACCTCCTGCAATAAATGACAAAATATCAATTAATAAAAAATATATACATAGAATCGTATAACAGTTTAATTTTTTTATTTCATTGTAATAGCGCTGTAAGTACTATTCGGAGTACGTGAGTGCAAAACAAGGAATTTTTTATGAGGTATTTAAATGGCAGTAAACAGCTAGTTTAGATGGAAATTAACCAGTAGCTTGTTTTATTACCGGAAGTATATAGCCTTGATGTTACTCTTATCATTTAAGCTATCCAACAAACTAATCATCGAAAAAGTCATTCTTCTTCTTCCCCTTCTCCCTCAGCGTTAAATGCTCCTCGATGACCATCTCGAGAAACTGATCGATCTTTAATTTCTCTCACCACCATCGTCCTCCGCCTGATCCCCTGTAGATCAAACAAGCGGAGGAAAGGCGACGCGTCGTTGAGGTTGGATGATCCAATAACTCTCATCCCTTCCCCAAAATGCATGTTCACCGAATTATACACCGGCAATGCTTTCCCTCCATGAACTAATTTCTCCCCATCATAATCCTATACATTGGTCTCCCACAAACAACCACACCTAACAATTAATTAACAATGAAATGACCATGGCTAAAATTGGGTAGAAATTGGCGAATATTTCCAAAATAGGTCGATTTTTTTAAAATATGTTTCTAAAGATGTCTAAAATAGAAATTTGTCCTTTATAAATCTCAAAAATAACAAAGAAAATCATATAAATCCATAAAGAAAATCATATAAATCCAGATCTGGACGGTAGAATATATACCTTTATAATTTTCCAAAACATCCCAATCTAAAAAACAATTTCACCACTGGAAACACTATCCATCATCAAAAGAGTCATGCAGAAGACAAGACTCATCTTTTCTAGATGCATCACAACAATTCATTAATAATTTAGATAGTGAGAACATAGAAAAAAGGGAAAAAAAATCGATGAGAGAGAGATGGGGACTTGAGAGGTTGCCACAAGGTTTGAAACCCTAGACTAGGTTATGCGTTATTTATAATCATCCTCCTTCTGTCTATACCATCCATTAAATTGGATCACACGGTCGATAATGAACGATATCACATGGCAAGCTCGTAAATAACCGAGAAAATGTTAGGGTTTGGAACGATAAAACCGATGCTTTGACTTGCATTAAATGTTAGAGTGTACTTAGTAACTACACACTAACCCGATTAAGGCCTTAACCAGATATAATTGAATTAATATGAGGGTGGTCCGATGATAACACACTTAAGGGTCTCTTTTTTGAACTAAAAAAAAGATCCAATCTTATACAATTTTTTACCAAACCTATGGTAAGCCCTTAATTAAGGACTTGTTTGGCAAACTGAGTAAACTCGTTTTATTGAAGACAAAATGGGTCCACGTGCTCAACCCGTATTGGCAAATAAAAAAATAGACTAAATTAGTTCTTAGACAAAATGGGTCCACGTGCTCAACCAGTTTTGGCAAATAAAAAAATAGGGCAAACTAGATCTTTTGAGGCCCACTTTTGCTCAGTAACCAGACCAGAAACAAACCAAGTCTCCCTAGTCTAAAAGAGAGCTAGGTTAAAATTGCTCGAAAATAGAGTTTAATATAAATGTAGTCAAAACGAGATTTGAATTAGAACTAGGGAAAAATGTTTTAAGGCCCCAAAATAAAAAATCTGTTGTGACTAGGCCCCCCATATTATTTTTTGGGTGACAAAGCCCCCAATACATAAAGTACTTGTGTTTCAGCCCCTGTTTGCCTTCCCAACACATCACAGTGAGAAAATTTTTTAGATATTCCAAAATTACCCTTAACTCATTACCCAAAAACTGTCAGCCTCTCTCTCTCTCTCTCTCTCTCTCTCTCTCTCTCTCGGGCGGAGGCGGCGACGAGAAGAAGCCGCCACCGTCGGTGAACGTGTGAGGAGGAAGCTTCTCTTCTTGCCACTGTTGGTGAACGTCTTGCAAGAAGAGTTAGGCTTGGATGCGAGGGCGTAGGCTTTGATCAGGGTGATGAAGAGCTGCTCGCCACAGCGGAGCTTGGATGCGAATGAGGCGGGCGTGGTCGAAAAAGGAGAGAGAGGTTAGCGGGTCGGGTTGGATGCGGATGAGGCAGGCAATCTTGTTGGGGGTTGGGAAGTGGAGCCAAGGGCTAACTGGGGGAGAGCAAAAGCAATATTAGGCATCATGTTAATTTCAAAAGAGAGGAGATGGGCAGGGACATACAACGGAGAAAGCTGGACTTGGGACCACGGAGAAAATGGAGAAGAGAGGACAGAGTCATTGTGCCCTTTATGTCGGCAAACAAGACTGCTGAGAAAGGAAGAGAAAATGTCTTAACTATTAATAATTTAGTTGCAAATAGACCTCTTGTATTATGACTTTTAAGCAAGGAAGAATGTCAGGTTTTCACAACATAGATTAGTCATTCTTTGATGGGTTTGTTTTCGCCATGCACTACTAATAAGAACTGATGAAAAAGAAGTTTGATGTTTAAGTGTATATCTATTTGTTCTTTTGTGTTCTTGATTAAGCATTGACAGATACGCGATGTATCAGCTTGTTGTAGGAGTATTTGATATCGTTTGTTGTACATGTGGGTGGACTGCTTCTTACAACAATACTTTTGTTATAGAAATATAGGTTGTCCAGAATTTTATAGTACATTGTGTAAGACTTTTGTAATATGTGAAGCTGTAAGACTAATCATATTATGTATTCAAGCAATTTCAGCTGTAAGTGTAGGCATCGAAAATTACCTATAGGTCTCTACGAACAGCTCAGTGTTAAGGAACGACGATGAACGTCACTATCCGGTCCACAGGGGTTCGATTGATGTCAGTGAACGCTTGAAGTGAATCGACGAACTACGTGGACTAACAGAATCTCGGAATAACGAAGGTACGGGCTAATCGGGAGCCCCACGATGTTTACAAGAAGAAGAATGCCCTTTGAATCTCATTCACTCTACAGATGATCCAACCATCGGAGCTGATAGAACTCCTTGTCGGCTTTCCAACGCACTTCGAATCACTCAAATCTGTGTTCGGACGAAGAATTTACAGCGGAAGCGGACATATACACCATAACAGAGTGTCTCGGACCAACGAGACACCCTAAGGTGTCTCGGCTAAGGCCCAGACACCCTAAGGCGGGTGTGGTCCAATCTGAGCAACTCAGTTCTTCCAGGAATGTTGGCGTATCTCACTTCGCATTTTCAAATTCATGGCGACTGAGATGAAATCTCAAAGTACGCAGGGAGCAACAAATGGATAGGACTTCAGTGAAGGCCGGGTATCGAAACTATCTGTGCGTTTTGAGGGTTAAAAATCTGAGAAGCTTAGTAAGTATTCTAACTGAGAAGATTTAGTGGACCTGGAATTGTCTATTTTTACAAACTTCTGTAGCAAACATTTCCCATATTCTCTTGGCTCATGGGAACCAAATCACAAGCAATTTACCATCCGTATAAATTATGCATTCAAGCTCATAGCAATTAGAAACACTAATTACTAAATGTAGGGACGAGTGCTAATTTATATGACTTATGTGCATGTGAAATTTATAGTACCAGATACATGGAATGTTTCTAAAATTGTCCATGAAAGTGTAGGGACGAGTGCTAATTACTAAATTTATGCGATCTTTTGTATAGCCTTGGTGTTGAAAATGGACAGAAAACCCAATAGTATGAGTTCTTGGAAAAAAAAACTTATATTAATAAGAAGCTAACGAAAAAAAAGTTTGTTGTTTGAGTATATATCTTTATGTTTGGTTTATTTGTATTTTAGTTGTTTGGCATTGGTAGTGTCGGTAAATTTTACCTTGGATCAATGGCTATGGCTTTTTCTTTGATGGGTTTATTTCTGGTGATGCAGTATCTAACTATTCTGTTAGCCCATACTAATGAGATTTTTTACCTCAACTATTCTGGTGATGCAGTATCTAACTTTTTCTTTGAGATTTTTTACCTTTAACTAATGAAAATCCTCATGTAAGTAATCTTGAATTTATTATTATTTTTGCTCAAGTAGCTGTGATTTATGATTCATGATTTAACTTGATTTTGATTTTGTTTTTTGTGAATAATTTCAGAATGATGATTGTAGATTTCGGGAGTGGTTTGACAACCCCGTGTATAGTGTGGAAACTTAATTATTTCCACTTATGAGAGAAGAACAAGAATTTAAGTTGAAGAAACAAGAACATGAAGCTTGTTATTGCTTGGATGAGGTTGTGAAAATGAGGAGAAGAAATGAATTTGATGGGTGAGCTTACAGAAGAAAAGATGAAGTAGATGTTAAATTTTATAATGGGACTGATTGTACTCTTTATTATTATGTGGTTTATCAAGAATTGCTTGTAATGTGTCATGTTTCATTGTTCGGTTGGTTATACTATGTGTACTCTTTATACTTGTGTAGTTTTTCAGAATTGCTTGTAGCGTATCATGTTTTATTATTCAGTTGATTATACTATGTGTTCTTGTGGTTTGGTTGTACTTAGATCAAAAATTAATGAAATATATTGTCTATTTAGTGATCAATTTTGGTTATTACGATTATTTGTGAAATGTATTTTGACTGTCATGTGAATATGTACAAGTTCATTCAAATAGAACTTGATGTGCATAATAAACTGAAGATTATATATAAATTATGTGTATCAAAACATGAATATTATGATACATAATATGTACATAATCCTATGGTTATTGTGTACATAATATATACAGATTATGTACATAATCTGTAAGTTACGATACACTATTAAATCTCATAACATGTTAACTCACCTCAAAACATGTTAACTTTCAGTTGAACATGTTAACTTTCTTCGTAACATGTTAACTTTCACCATAATATGTTAACTTTCTTCGTAACATGTTAACTTTTAGCTGGACATGTTAACTTTCATCATAATATGTTAACATTCACTATTACATGTTAACTTTCACCATAATATATAAACATTCTTTGTAACATGTTAACTCTCAGCTGAACATGTTAACTTTCATCATATTATGATGAAAGTTAACATATTCAACTGATAGTTAGCGTGGAGAGCTGAAATATAACATGTTCATAATAAAGTTAACATATGCAGATGAAAGTTAATATATACAGCTGACAGTTAACATGTTCACTTTAAAGTCTATAGAATTTGAAAGTCAACGTGTACAGTTGAAATAAAACATGTTCATCTGAGTAAGCACATCATGAAAAAATAAAGCAGCGAAAGTCAACGTCTATAGCAATTTCCTTCTCTTGTCTCTCCATTTGAGATTTGTTTCAGACATTCAAGAAAAGTCCTCAAAGATGTTATAGATGAATAAATTAACATGTACATCTGATAAGTTAACATATATATCTGACAAGTTAATATATTATGATGAATGTTAACATGTTTAGTTGAAAGTTAACATATTCTGAAGAAAGTTAACATGTAATAGCGAATGCTAACATATTATGATGAAAGTTAACATATAATAGTGAATGTTAACATATTATGATGAAAGTTAACATAAAGCCGCGAAAGTTAACATTCAGTATGAAAAGTTAACATACTAGGAGGAAAGTTAACACATTCAGTTAAAAGTCAACATATAACTATTATTTGGTACACAATCTGTATATATTATGATGTACATAATCTGTATATATTATGTACACAATAACCTCAAGGTTATGTACATATTATGTACCATAATATTCATGTTTTGATACACATAATTTATATATAATCTTCGATTATTATGCATATCAAGTT